AAAAGCCTAGAACCCTACGGCGCCCAAACACCCTTGAATCCCTAAGCCCTACATCCCCAAACCCCAAAAACCTCAAGCCCTGAGCCAGCCCCTAGAACCCCTAGACTCCAACACCCTAAGCCCCACAACCCTAAAAGCAATCTACAACCCCAAGCCCAAAACCCTAAACCCCCATAACTTCCCGAAAGCTGTGACAAACGCTCACAACCCTAAAGAAGACCCCAAGCCAAGAAGCCCTACAAATCTTCCAAAAGCCACAAGAACCTAAATCCCTAAACCCCAAAACCAACCCCCCCCCCCCCCCCCCCCCCAAACCCTAAACCCTAAGCCCTAAACCCTAAACCCTAAACCCTAAACCCTAAACCCTAAACCTAGACCCTAAACCCTCAGCCCTAAAAAACCAACAAACGCTGAAAGTCCTGAGTGCAGGGCCGAAGCCCACGGACCGGTAGGGCCTCCTTCGAAGTACTTTGATCTCTGTTTTTAGTTTTTTGTTTGTTTTTTTTTTTGTGTGTGTGTGTGTGTGTGTTTTTGCCTTTCTAGGCGTTTAAAAAGGGTTCGATTCTCCATGTTCATGCTAGGGGTTGTTTATTCAGGCTTTTTAGGGTCTTCTCCGGGTTTTTGTAACGGCCTTGCTAGGGCTTTTTTAGGGGTTGTTTAAAGGGTCGTTAATGGGGTTTCAGCGTGTTTAGGGGGTTGTAGCGGTTCGGGCTGTTCAGATTTGTAGCGGCCCCCCAGTTATACGTGGGGCTTCAAGGCCCGATCTTGGGTTTTAGGTCACATGACTTTTGCTAACCGACTTCGTGAATTCAAACCCTACCCGGAGAACACCACGTTGTCCATTGGGTCTGCAGGCGGTTTCGCAATCACGCTGGTTTTAGGGTTTATAAGGCTTAGGGTACTGCAATTCAGCTTGAGTTCAAGGTTTAGGGTTTAGGGTTTAGGGTTTAGGGCTACATCGAAAGCCACCCCAAAGCTTTGAAACTCGGCCCTCCGGGACGGCGTACAGCGCGTGCTGGGCCACGAACTCCACCATGGCGAGGGTGGGTTTAGGGAATAGGGTTTAGGGCTTAGGGTTAGGGTTTAAGGTTAGGGTGTTGAGTTCAAGTTTGATTCAAACAGTTACCCCTAAACCCGAAACCCTAAATCCTATAGCCCAAACCCTAAACCCTAAACTCTACATTTTTAGGCTTCTGGGGTTGTGAGTTTGAGGTTTCAGGTTTAGGGTTTAAGTCTTAGTATAGCGGCCTTCATAATTAGAATAGGGTTTTGGGGAAGTATACGTATCTAGGAATGTTGCACAGTGGCCCACGAAAAGGCTTCAAAATTGTCATTACGGCTTTCAGGCTGCTACGGTCCTGGACTGTGTCCTAAACTCGCCCTTTCTTGGCCTAAACCCTAAACCCTAAACCCTAAAGCCTAATTGGGGTTATATGCAACCATGAACCTCCAAGTTTAGGGTTTTACGGTGCCCAGTGGTGTCCCATTTTCGGGTTCCCTAACACAGTGACCCACTCCGAAAAAGGGTACCCTTATGCTAATCTGGTTACTGGCTACCAAGCTTTTACTCTAAAGCCTAAGCCCTTAACCCTAAAACCTAAACCCTAAACCCTAAACCCTAAACCCTAGCCCTAAACCCGAAACCCTAAACCCTAAGAGGAGGCAGTTTAGGGCGGCTGGTGCTCTGCCAGGGTGGAGAAGAAGGGCACAGCCCCTTACAATACCACCCTGCGCGGGGGGGTGGATGGCAACCCTAAACCCTAGACCCTAAACCCCAAACCCTAAACCCTAAACGCAGCGGACCGATACGTATCAGGCCACGAACAGCTTTGAAGCTCGACGCCTCAAGCAGCTCTCAGCAGGAAGTCCACAAGACCATCCTCGGTCCTGTATCGGTTTAGGCTTTAGGCTTTAGGCTTTAGGCTTTAGGCTTTAGGCTTTAGGCTTTAGGCTTTAGGCTTTAGGCTTTAGGCTTTAGGCTTTAGGCTTTAGGGTTTGGGCTTTAGGGTTTGGGCTTTAGGCTTTGGGCTTTAGGCTTTAGGCTGTAGGCTTTAGCGTTTAAGAAAAAGCAAACAGCAGAGACATAGACAACTTCGGCATGCCATGCTCATATGCTTAAGCTTGGCTCTCATCTGCAGTCTTAGGACTTGGGGCTTAGGGCTTAGGGTTTAGGGTTCCTAGGGCTTAGGGTTTAGGGTTTAGGGTTTAGGGTTTGGGCTTGTGGTTTGCGAAGCCGCAAACTCCCTCCGATTCAGGTGCATGCTTCCGAGGTTCTGACAGACCCCTAAACCCCGAACCCTAAACCCTAAACCCTAAACCCTAAACCCTAAACCCTAAACCCTAAACCCTAAACCCTAAACCCTAAACCCTAAACCCTAAACCCTAAACCCTAAACCCTAAACCCTAAACCCTAAACCCTAAACCCTAAACCCTAAACCCTAAACCTAAACCCTAAACCCTAAACCCTAAACCCTAAACCCTAAACCCTAAACCCTAAACCCTAAACCCTAAACCCTAAACCCTAAACCCTAAACCCTAAACCCTAGCCCTAAACCCTAAACTTCCCCGCCCCCTCGCGCAGATGCATGTGTCACATCAAAAGCAAAAGACGCAGCACCTTCCGCAGCCGGTGCTCTGCCGTGTCCTTGTCAGGAGTGAGGCTCCTGGAGCCTTAGGGTTTAGGGTTTAGGGTGTAGGTTTTTCCGAAACCCTTAATATGGTCCATCACGTCATTTAATGGGCCCTTGGGTTTTTTTCAGGGTATATAAGGGGTATAGAAGGGGTCCTCCTTTACGGGGCCCATACTAAGGGACCCTGTAACTACCCTAAGACAAGTTCCATGGTTAGAATGCTTGGGACTCATGGGTTTAGGGTTTAGGGAAAAGTCATCCGTCTTGCATCCTTATAGGCTTTTGGCCTCGAGTGGTAAGGACATGTCTTACCTGCGCTGGTGGGGGGGCAATCGCCGGTGCTTAAAGCGAAGTCCTAGCTTCGCGAACGCCGGCTGTGGTTTATTCAGTGGGCCGATGCGGAATGATGTCGTGAAGTGTACTTTGGCGAGAGTTTCGCCTAAACCCTAAACCCTAAGACCTAAACCCTAAACCCTAAACCCTAAATCCTAAACCCTAAACCCTAGTGAGTTCTGCCCTAAACCCAACCAGGCCTAAGCCGCATTGGGGTCGTGCTCCAACGACCATTGACCCTCCGAGAGCCCACCGCGTGCTCCTTCGATGCACGTGCCGCGAGCCATCGTCAAAAGTCTGCAAGGGTTTAGGGTTTAGGGTTTGGGGTTAGGGTTTAGGGTTTAGGGTTAGGGTCCAGGGTTTTAGACTTTCGAGGGTTCAAGAGGATAATATTTAGGAATCTTTTTCAAAAGGTTTAAGGTTTTGGGTTTAGGGTTCAGGGTTTAGTGTTGACCACATGTGGTGCCCATGCGCGCCCAAGGTTGGTTGCTTTCACGTTGGGATGTTTCCGACCCCATTCTTGACGTAGCTCAACAGAAAGGGTACCCCCCCAAAACCCAAAACCCAAAACTTTTAAACCCTACATCCTAAACCCTAAACTTTATAAACCGCCAGAGCAGCAAAGCTTAGACCCTAAACCCCAAACCCCAAACCCCAAACCCCAACCCTAAACCCTAAACCCCAAACCCCAAACCCTAAACCCCAAACCCTAAACCCTAAACCCCAAACCCTAAACCCTAAACCCTAAACCCTAAACCCCAAACCCTAAACCCTAAACCCCAAAGCCTAACCCTAAACCCTAAACCCCAAACCCTAAACCCTAAACCCTAAACCCTAAACCCTAAACCCTAAACCCTAAACCCAACCTAATCAAGATCGGAGGCGCCTGCGTGCCCCCAGGAACGCCGACCGCGCCACAGGCTGCGACTTTGGGGCTTGACGTAGGGTTTAGGGTTTAGGGTTTAGGGTTTAGGGTTTAGGGTTTAGGGTTTAGGGTATGTCTACGTAGTATCCCAGCAACCCCTTCGTACTCCCCATAACCCCACCTTACTAAGCCTACTTTACTAAGTCAAGAGAGCTTCCAAGTAGAGTTTCAAGGGCTTCAGAATTTCAGGGATTAATGCTTTAGGGGTTTAAGCCTTTCAGGGTGTAGCGGTTTAGGGGTTTAAAGCTTTCAGGGTCAAAGGACTTTAGGGTTTTGGGCTTTTGTGGGGTTGATTTGGCTCAGGTTTAGGCAGAAGGTATGGGCTTCAGGTCAGGCTGCTGGGGATTCTTGGGGGTTACAGGTCAACAGGACAGGTACGAGGACTTTTATTCCTTTTTGGCGGGGGTTTTCGGTTCCCTTATAAGCCTTATAAGCCCCTTTAAGCCAAAACCGGCACCCTTTATGTTCCTAGGTCCTAGGTTACTCTTGGGTACTAGGGTGCGAGATTCCCAAGTTCAGTGCTGCTCAGGCCAGATATGAAACAGGGTTCATATTATTGTGTTTGGTGAGTGTACATAAGGTTCCGTTCAAAAATTGGCGAGTGTATGTATTGGGTGTCCTTTTGGGGATACGAGAAATATATAACCCTTGCGCCATATGCAGCAATTTTGAGCTTGCGGCGTCAAAGATGTGTTTCGATGGCTGGGGGAGACTGGGTCTTGAGACATGTGGGGAGTTCTCTAAATTAGGGTCCCTGTTTGGGTCCCCTGTATAATATGGCACCCTTATAAAATAAGGACCAAAAAAAGGGACCCGAATGTAGAGAACCATCCATGTAGAACCTATAAGGGCATGGAAAGGAGCTTGTAAGCAAGAGAGGTTGTCGTGCAGTTTTCGGGGTGATGATTGGTTCGTTTTACGATTCCTGGTGCGTTGCAAGTGATAAAAGGGATGTATGGACCACCCTACACCCTAAACCCATAGCCCGTAAAACCCTCAATAGTAAACAACTGGGTACCGTGTGCTTAAATCTTTACTGAAGCTCATGCTCGCCCGGCATTACTTGCCCAAGTTTTTCTTGCCCATGCTCAGGCCTCCGTATTCATCCATGAATGACCGCGGCGCAGTTCGTTCCTAGGCTGCTGCTGTGGCTTCTTTGCGTGGGAGCCCACCGCGACTCGCAGGGCGTCCTGGCTCCGGCCACCTCTGTCAGTCAGATCGACCAAGATGTACGAATTCCGGACAAAGCCAGGCTTGTTCAGCTGCCAGCGGGCATTCTTGGAATCAGTCTAGACTCAGGTAGTGGAATTTTTCGTGGCGTGCAGCCTAACATGCCTGGAGAGAAAGCTGGATTGAAACTTAGTGGCTGAGTGAGCACACTTTACACGTTTTTGGGAGACTTACCCCCTATAGAACTGAAAGTGTAAGTTTTTTTGGCGCTTATAACCTCAGCAACTGAGGAAACGTGGTGACCAGATTATCGAGGTTGATGGTCAGGCATACCGTGCCGGAGTCTTTTGGACAAAGCACGGTACAAACCAGCCCATGACCATCATGGTACGTGACTTGGTAGCCCATTGGTACCCTCTTCCCATTTGTGTTTGGTTCAAGGTTCCCTTATGACGTAACCCTAAACCCTAAACCCTAAACCCTAAACCCTAAACCCTAAACCCTAAACCCTAAACCCTACATATGGTATCTGGGGGCTACCTTAAGGTGAAGCCCCGGAGATGGCAAAGCTGCTCGAGCGCATTCGGTGCAGTCTCGCCCTGCCCGCATGTGCTTTGGGTTGCATGGTGGCCTGGTGGTACCCTTTTTCGTTTTGTTTGGTTCAAGGTGTAGGGTTTAGGGTTTAGGGTTTAGGGTTTGGGGTTTACTGTTTGGGGTTTAGGGTAAACCGTTTTGTTGGTTCAAGGTTCCTTTATAAAGTAACCAACCCCAAAATGGGTGCCCTTGCTATAATATGGTTTGTGCGCTACCAAGGTTGCATTCTCATCTTGGCATCGCCTTGGTGTCTCTATTCCCGATACGACAAGGGTCTTGCTTGGCAGCTGGACAGTGCTCGCAGATCATGCAGCTGGCCTTTCGTTGCGGCCGTGCTGGCATTTGCATGCGCTCGCACGTTCTCAGCGTGGCAGGATATTGGGCATATGGACTTTCTCACGTCGATGCTTGCGCTGTCAGAAGTGGTGCGTTCCCTTTGCCTTGTTACGGGCACGCTCTCGAACATGAATAACCCATCTTTCAGCTTACAACTGTGACTCGGACGAGTAGTACCCTTATTCCTTTTTTTTTTTTTTTTTGGGGGGGGGGGGGGGGGGGTTAGGTCCCACAACCAACAAGGCAGCCTTTTTTGTTGTTAGGTTATAGTTACCTGGACATCCTAGGTTGGGCACTGTCTCAAGTGCCCAGCAGAAGATGGATTTGGCTGCCTGGACTCTGTTTGTTACTGGTGCTTTGTGTTCCTGCATTGATGCTGTCATTGTCATCTGGAAGTATTTGCCACGACGTCCGGAAGCATGGGGGCTTGGGGACTTCTCGGATTCGGTGCTCATTCTTGGTCGTGTTCCAGAGACATTCATGCTTTTGGCACTGTGCCTATACCGCCCTTGGGGTTTTTTAAAGTTTTTTGCTTATAAAAAGCCCAAGAGGATATTAAAAATGTTGTTTAGGGTTTAGGGTTTAGGGTTTAGGGTTTAGGGTTTAGGGTTTAGGGTTTAGGGGCGTATAGGTGCTCGATGGCGTCCTATACTTCTGCAGCATCCCGGCAGCGCATGCTCGAAGTTCAGGAGCGCATGGGTTTAGGGTTTAGGGTTTAGGGTTTAGGGTTTAGGGTTTAGGGTTTAGGGTTTAGGGTTCAGGAGCGCATGCCTTGCCAAGCCTCGGACCTCGCAGAGGAAGTGCACAAGCCTTGTGGTAAGGCTCCTTATACTCTTTCAGTTAGTTAAACTTTCTACAACTTTTTTTGGGTCTCCTTATTTAGGAGGAAGAGTAGAAGTGTAACATCTTCCCCTAAACCCTAAACCCTAAACCCTAAACCCTAAACCCTAAACCCTAAACCCTAAACCCTAAACCCTAAACCCTAAACCCTAAACCCTAAACCCTATCATTGCAGAAGTAAGGTTCTGCGGGACGCTGAAGTTGCGCTCTCCTCACTGGGATGGCCCTTAGCCCTTTTGGCCTCTACAGCTCTGCCAACGGCCATTCAGAGCTACAGCAAGGTTCCTTGGACCCAGAGTGGGCCCTTACCCCCCTTTTTTAGGGTTTAGGGTTTAGGGTTTAGGGTTTAGGGTATAGGGTAAAAAGGGGGTTTTGGGTTTGGGACCAAGAGTGGGCCCTCATTCCTCTGTTTTTAGGGGTTTAGGTTCCCTTAGACTCCCCTTTAAACCAAAAAAGGCCGCCCTTTTTGTATTCCTAGGTTACTCTTGACTCAAGGTTCGGGCTCTCTACACCAACGCCTCTCTCCGCCTCTTGCCCGGAAATTGGGTCTTCATCTTTTACCACGCAGTCCTTGCCACTGCCAGCCTCTTACCGGCTGCCTTCTGTCTCTTGGGCAGCCCAGTCGTAGCCTTGTCCCCCCCCTGTTTTTTTTGTTTCAAGGTTACCCTTAGCAAGGTAACCAACCCAAACAAAGGTACCCTTGCTATTATTACGATTTATTATTATTATTATCATAATTATTATCATGGTTATTATGATGATTTTATTCCTATGTTATTATTATTACTATTATTATTATTCTATTCCTATGTTGTTTTTTTGGTTGCTGGGCCACCAAGGTTTGCAGCATCTGTCGTCAGCCATTCACGACTTCGAGGGTGCTCTCAACCGAGAACGGCTGCGGGATCCCAGCCTGCACGGGCAGCTACTTGGTAGCCCGCTGGTACCCTTTTACCTTTTTTTGGTTCTGGGTTGCCTTGTAAAATGAGATGCTCCCCCTTATACGAACAGTCGTTAATTAATGGGGAGTAGATTAGGGGGTGCTCTAATCCCGATTAAGGACTGCTAGTATAAGGGGGAACATCCCAAGTAACCAACCCAAAAAGGGCACCCGCCTTATAAAAGGGTTACTGGTACTGTTCTGGGTACCCTAAACCCTAAACCCTAAAAAGGGTCCCCTCATTGTAGTATGGTTACTGTGCTAACTAAGGTTGCAAGCCATGGAGACCGCACTCGACAGATTAAACCGCAGACAGGCTAGGCAGCTGAGTGAGTACGCTTTACACTTCTTTGGGATTGTCGCAATCCCCTACAGAAAACCCTGAACCCTAAACCCTAAACCCTAAACCCTAAACCCTAGAAAGTGTACCCTCTCTTGGGGGGCTGACGAACTCAGCAACCGAGCAGGGGTGGGGCATCAAGCTCTTCCCCGGCCTGGTTCTCACGCAGTCGCTCGGACCCAGCGTAGGACTTGTTCCCTTTGTTGGGGGGGTGGGGTGGGGGTATAGGTACCCCTTTTTAACAAAAAAGGCGGTAGTATCCTGTTCATTCCTAGGTTACTCTTGGGTAGCCCTAAACCCTAGAACCCTGAACCCTGAACCCTAAACCCTAAACCCTAAGTAAGGTCACTTCTGCAGACAGTGATCGTTCGTATCGTCCTTGTCAGCGCTGCCATCCTGGCTTTCTTGGATTCCCAGCTGGGCTACTCAAAGACACAGCCCTGAGAGCCCCCTCCCGAGTCGACTGCACCGCTGCAAAATCGATGGGGTTTAGGGTTTAGTGTTTAGGGTTTAGGGTTGAGGGTTTAGGCTTTAAGGTTTAGGGTTTAGGGTTTCATTAGGGTTAGGGAACTCAGTAGCGACACGGATGTTTCGAGCCGAGCGTGAAGAGCGGCCCACCGAGTAAATGTTTCGGGGGCTCCTCGCGCTCAAAGGTAGGAGGTCCCCCTACACCTACACCCTACACCCTGCACCCTACACCCTACACCCTAAACCCTAAACCCTAAACCTAAACCTGATTGAGTATGTCTTGGCACCCAAGACCCGACCCCAAAACAAGAATGGTGACACGCAATCACTCAACGTCAGACATGTCAAGGTTCCTGACAGGTTTTCGACTTTAGGGTTTAAGGGGTTTCGGGTTTAGGGATTTGAGACATAGGGTTTAGGGTTTAGGGCTTAAGGTTTAGGGTACGTTTCTTTTTGCTTCTCTGTTTCCTACGTCACTCTTGGGTCTCGTAGACTTCCTTAACAAAGGAACAATGTTGCTTAGTGATTGGTCCTGAACCCCCCGACCTTAATTCCCCAAACCCTAAACCCTAATCCCCCAATCCCTAAACACTCTAAACCCTAATTCCCCAATCCCTAAACACCCTAACTCCTAAACCCCAAATCCCTAAACACTCTAAATACACCCTAAGTCCTAATTCCCCAATCCCTAAACACCCTAAATCCTGAATCCCTAAGCCCTAAACCTCAATCCCCAATCCCCACGATTCTGGTGCGAAGAACCCGGCGCATGCAGGAGAAGGGCGTTCCGGCGGTGACCTACGACTTCCAGATTCTGCCAGGCTGTGATTTATGGCTCAGGGTTTAGGGTTTAGGGTTTAGGGTTTAGGGTTTAGGGTTTGGGGTGCAGATCCCCCGAAAGCCATCAGCCTTACCTGCGCAACTCCAAGCTACTCTGTAGCCCTCGAACTATAGGGCGGATAGCCCTAAACCCTCAGCCCTTACTAAACCCTAAACGTCAAATCCTAAGCCCTAAACCGTAAACCCTAAACCAAAAGCCCAAACCCTAAGCCTAAAACCACCAGAAAAAAGGTAGCTAAGTGGGACACAGGCAAGCCCCAGAACCCTCGTCACCACCTAACACTCTGTGCCCGAGGACCCAAAAACCCTAGGGTTTTAGACCCTCGGGTTTAGGGTTTAGGGTTTAGGGTTTAGGGTTTAGGGTTCAGGGTTTAGGGTTTAGGGTTTAGGGTTTCCTCAACCCCCCGCAAAAACCCTAAAGAACCCCCAAAACACTGCCTGGCCGCTGGCGGCTCAGCTTGCCGACATAAGTCTCTTGCGGCGCAGCCTAACCCTAAACCCTAAACCCTAAACCCGAAAGCCTAAACCCTAAACCCTAAACCCTAAACCCTGAACCCTGAACCCTGAACCCGCTACTGAAATCTGCCCCCGGCAGTTCGGACTGGGGACTCTTAAGTGGCTTAGAGTAGTTTAGGGTATATTGGGGTTTAGGGTTTAGTGTTTAGGGTTTAGGGTTTAGGGTAGTGGAGTTCACACTAAACCCTAAACTACTCTTAAGTGGCTTAGAGTAGTTTAAGGTTTAGTGTTTAGGGTTTAGTGTTTAGGGTTTAGGGTAGTGGAGTTTACGGCTTCACGGGCTTAGGTGTGTATGTGCCTGTATGTGCCTTACCTGGTTCCTCCCGTATGCCGATGGGTTTGTGCTTCCGCGGGCGCGTGCCCGTCCATGCGGCGCCGGCCTGCGCGCAAGCGCGGGTTCCGCCGAAAGAGCGGCCAGAGATGATGGGCAGCGAGGACCCTTCCGGGGTGCTCAAGAAGTTCTTTCTTTGTGTACAGATATGTATTGAACCTAAATCATAGAAAATCGAGTTTAACTAAAATGTTAGAAGTTGGGGGAGAGCTTGATGGAGGGCTAAAGCGGCGGCTTTTGGGAAGCTTTAGAACTTCGGTAAGGGGCCGAGAGGAAGAGGGGCGGAGGGTTTAGGGTTTAGGTTTTAGATTTTAGGGTTGAGGGTTGAGGGTTGAGGGTTTCGGGTTTCGGGTTTAGGGTCACTTGTTCCTTGTCATCAGAATCGAGTTTCTGTCGCTCATCTCTCCTCATTGAGCCACAGAGACATCGGCCCCAAGGTGCCTTCTGAGAATGCAGTACGAGTAGAGCTGTCATCACTATTAGAAAAAAGAAGAGGGAGACCGGTGCGTACTTCTTGCTGTGACTTTTTTTGCACGAGAAATCAGCATTCTCATCCTAAACCCTAAACCCTAAACCCTAAACCCTAAACCCTTCGGGTTCTTCTGAATATTTGCATGGGGCGAAAGGTGATCATCAAGATTCGGTTTTAGAGCTTCTGGCTTGAAATCGGGCATTTTAGGGTGTAAGGGTTCGCTTTGGGGTTTAGGGTTTCTGGTTTAGGTCTTAGGGTTTAGGGCTTGTAGGGCTTAAAGGGCTTATGGAGCTTCTAGGGCTTCTCGGGCTAGGGTTTAGGGTTTAGGGTTTAGGGTGTAGGGTTTAGGGTTTAGGGCTTAGGGTTCATAAGGCTCAGGGGTTATAAAGTCTAGGGCAGGAGGCCCGCGCGATCTTCGAGAGGGCGCAGGCTGCCGAGCAGAGCTCGGGATCTGGGGCAGAGCTCGTGCATGAGGAGCTGCCAGCCGAGAGGTGCCCACGGGTCTCGTGACCTTATCTAGGACTTCCATATATATATATATACATACATACATATCTATATATCTAGCTATAAAAAAAAATATATATATATATATTTGTTTATTTGTTTATTTGTTTATTTATTTATTTATTTATTTATATGTTTTAAGCATGTTTTTGCTACATATAGGGTTTATATGAAGCAATCTGTATGACTGCCATTGGTCAGGTTTGTATTTTGCGTGGCCTTGGGGGGTACTAGCAAAAAAAAGGGAAAACGAACCGAAACCTCATATGCCCTGGTCCATGAGCCCGATGCCCTGAAGACCCAAGCCCCACCCAAGATCCTCAACCGCAACCCGCTACACCCCTAAGCCGCCCTCCAAGAGCCCCCAAAACCCCGAAAAGCCCGAAACCCTAAAGCCCTTACAGCCTAAACCCGAATCTCCAACCTAAAGCCGTAAACCCGAACCCTAAACCCTAAACCCTAAACCCTAAACCCTAAACCCTAAACCCTAAACCCTAAACCCTAAACCCTAAACCCTAAACCCTAAACCCTACAGGTGGGGAGTCAGCAAAGACCAGCTGCATGAGGTCGAAGAGCCTCGGCCCATCGGCGGGTTTACAGGGTCTGGGGGGGGGGGGGGGTTAGGGTTGAGGGTTTAGGGTTTAGGGTTTAGGGTTTAGGGTTTAGGGTTTAGGGTTTAGGGTTTAGGGTTTAGGGTTTAGGGTTTAGGGCAAGTTGAGGGTTCGGGGGCTTGGGGGCATAGGGTTTAGGGTTTTTTAGGGTTTAGGGTTTAGGGCTAGAGGGAGGGTAGGTTTCTTCAGGGCCCAAGAATGCGGGATTTGTAGTGGTTTGATGTCTGAGGGTGTTGGGGGGGTGGGGGCTTGGAGCTCAGCCTTCTACTCGCTTGACTTGAATCCTTCAATACGGAAGCAAGAGTTGGAGTGGAACCCCGACCAAAACCTGAAACCCCAGATCCCGAACCCTAAACCCTAAACCCTAAACCCTAAACCCTAAACCCTAAACCCCAGATAAAAAAAAAAAAAAAAAAAAAAAAAAAAAAAAAAAAAAAAAAAAAAAAAAAAAAAAAAAAAAAAAAAAAAAAAACTGAGAGGAGCTGGTGCGGCAGAGGCTGCTGGAGAAGCGGCTCGTGAACCCAAACCTGGCGGAGTGCAAAAAGCGCGGAATTCCTCACTACAGCCGCTCGGCTTTCGGGTTCGAGTTTTTGCGGTTTGAGGGTTTGAGGGTTTGAGGGTTTGAGGGTTTGAGGGTTTGAGGGTTTGAGGGTTTGAGGGTTTGAGGGTTTGAGGGTTTAGGGTTAAGGGCTCTTGGGTTTAAGGAAGTTTCTTATGGCTGAGACTAGGGTTGAGGGTTCGAGGGCTTTTGAGACTTTTGCACTTTTAGGCCTTCGGGGTTTTACGGTTAGGGTCTTAGAGTTTAGAAGGCCCTCATCGCTATGACTTAGCTGTTAGCGTTGAAGGAGGTAGGGGGTTGTCATGGTTCGACTCTTTCGGGTTGAACCGGGTTTGCGTGTTCGAGGGTGCAGGCCCGGGCTCTATAGGGTCTAGGGGTTTAGGGGTTTAGGGCTCAAGGTGTTGGGTTTCGGGTGTTGGGTGTGGGGCTCAGGGGAGTTCAGGGTTTTCAGGGTTTAGGGTTTAAGGTTTGAGGTTTGGGGTGGTGTATGGTTCTGGGTAGGGTTTGGGACAGGTGATAGAGACGCTGTAGGGACCCGGCATGCTACTTTGGGGTTTAGGGTTCACGGTTTCGAGGTTTCATGGGAAGGTTCTGTTCAGGCGTAGAGGTACCTGCATTGGGGTCTGAGCCTTACATGCGGTGATAAGTGCAGCGTGCCCTATTTGTAACCCTCAACCCCCAACCCTAAACCCTAAAACCTAAACTTAAACCCTAAACCCCAAACCCTAAACCCTATACCCTAAGACCTAAACCCGAAACCTTCAAGGATCCCCGAAACCCAAACCTGAGAACGAGGCGACAAGAAGTTTCACAACCCGGCCATTGGCCCGACCATACATCAAGTCTGCGCGGGGCTTATACGGCCGGTGACGGAGCACAAGGACCTTCCTAAAGAATTTAGGGCCCAGGGTCTAGGGTCTAGGGTCTAGGGTCTATAGGGTTTAGGGTTTAGGGTTTAGCGTTTAGCGTTTAGGGTTTAGGGTTTAGGATTTAGGGTTTAGGGTTTAGGGTTGGCTCCGAATGTAGTTCCTTTCGGGGTTAGAGAAGAGTTTTGAGATACCCTACAGAGGTGCTACATAGGGGGCCTCTGGGTGAACCCTTAACCTGAGGCCCTAACCCCGAACCTTGTCACAAGGACCCCTTCCATGGAATCTCGCGCTTGAGCTATGCCCTGAACCAGAACCCCCTTGGTCTCCTTTGCGACTTATTCATCTCACATGCCTCTCAGCGGCCGAGTGGTACACTTTTGCCCTTTTTCGGGTTCTCGGTTCCCTTAAGCAAATAATGCGGTTTAGGGTATATAGGGTTCATGGCCCCAAACAGGGCACCCATATTGTCGCATTCTCCCGTACACTTGTCTTTCGAAGAGTACAACGGCTACCCCCATGTAACCCTCAAACTAGTCCCCCACCCCTAAACCCTAAGCCCCAAGCCCCAAACCCCAAACCCCAAGCCCCAAACCCCAAACCCTAAACCCTAAACCCTAAACCCTTAACCCTAAACCCTAAACCCTATAAGGCCTGGGCAGAGGGCATCTTCGAGTTGACAGGAACGGTTCTGAACAGCTGGCCGAAGGAATGCGGTGGCGCCTACATCTGTGCCCTTGGCAGCTGCTTTTGGGTACCTCGGGGTTTAGGGATTTAGGGTTTTAGGGGTTTAGGGTTTAGGGTTTAGGGTTTGGGGATTTTGGGGATTTAGGGTTTAGGGTTTAGGATTCAGGGATTTAGGATTTAGGGTTTAGGGTTGTAGGGTTTAGGGTTTAGGGTTTAGGGTTTAGGGGTTTAGGGGTTTAGGGTTAGGCCCTTCTTAGGATCTGGGCTCCCTTAGAAACGTAACCCCGGCCTCCCATTGTTACTGCTCTTGCGAAGGTGCCTTGGCGAATCCACAGAACCTGTTGGAGTTCTTGAGTCGCCTCATCGCGAATCCGTTTTCCTCTCCCTTCTTCAGGGTGTCGCTGGGCTGCTCAGAGTAGCCGTCCATTGGGAACAGTCCCTTTGCGGGGGGTGCCGTACTATATAGGGACCTAACAGGGAACTTTATCTTAAGTAGTTTCGTGGAGAGTTTCACGACACGTGCAGGTTGCTGTGCCGACCAAAGAAGATGCTCATGGTCGCGAACGCCAACGTGCCCATACATTCGCGCCTTTGGTGTGTCTGGGCAGGTCCTTAGATGTGTTTTGTGTAGATATTGCAGTTCCCTCTTGGGTTTTGCAAGAGGGTCTCATTCAAGAATGTGTTTCGTGTGCCTGCTTCTTGGTGTGCTTCAAGACAAGTTCAAGCTTTTGTTCTAGAATACAGACACGTATGTAATGTAATGCAATACAATGTAATGTGATGTAATGTAATGCAATGTATGCAATGTAATGCAATGCAATGTAATGTAATGCAATGTAATGCAATGTAATGTACTGTATGTGTGAGTATGTATGAGTATGTATGCGTATGAACGAGTATATATGAGTATGCATGAGTACATATGTGTGAGTATGTGTGAGTATGTAAACAGATAGACCGACCGAACCTTCCCCCCCCCCCCCCCCCCCCCACCCCACCCCACCCCCCCCCCCCCGGGGGGTGCATTGCGGATATGTTCTGTGGGGAGTTTTTCCCCCAGCCACGCCCCCACCCCTCCCCCCCCCACCCCCCCAAAAAAAAAAAAAAAAAAAAAAAAAACACACACAGGAAAAACGAAAAGTAGAAAGATTAATTGTAGGGCTTCTGCCCCTGCAGGCTGGGGTCAACATTGCACCATCTTCATTCTTCATCACGCGTCCTTTTTCACCATCATCATCTCATTCATTCTACATCATTCGTTCCCCTCATGTGTTTTATGGGGGTTGGTTCTGGGGGTTTTATCTACAATCTTCGTTACTAGGTGCTTTCATCGTAGTCGTTCATCGCATTTCGTCACCTACTTCATTTTATCATCGTAGTTCTCACGGATTTTGGCTGTCCAACCGAGGTGTGTTCGAAGCCCATTGTGCAAGACACCTGGAAGTCGCCTGCACTGCAGTTCAGCACCTGCTATGACATCAAAAAGTAGTTCCTGCTTTGGGGTTCGGTTAGGGTTTAGGGTACGTTTAACCCCCCCCCCCCCCCCTCCCCCCCTCCCCCCCCCTCCTCCCCCCCCCCCCTCCCCCCCCCCCCCTCTAAACGAAACAAGCTGCATTTGGGAGTTCAAGGAAGGGCCTAGACAAGTCGACCGTGACCATGGGCCTCGGGTTTGGGCGCTTGATGATCCAGACCCAGACCCAATTCAGGATTTCCTTGCTAGGGCTTAGGGCTCCTGTAATCTGTTGCTGGCCATACGATTAGGCACCCAAAGTCCGAAAATACGCTGGGCTTGAGACTTCAGGGTGTGAGTCGCCTTTGCTGTGCTCGTGTCTACGAAGGTGCCAACTGCGGTTGTTGGGGATCCCGCCCACTTCGCCACCAACGCTGGGGCCTCGAAGAGCGCCGCGCGTGCTATTGGCCGCGCCGTGGAGGCGCGAAGACGAGAGGAAGCCATCAATGACGCAGCCGAAGACGCAGCCGTGGACCGGGATTGGGGTTTAGGGTTTAGGGTTTAGGGTTTAGGGTTTAGGGTTTAGGGTTTAGGGTTTAGGGTTTAGGGTTTAGGGTTTAGGGTTTAGGGTTTAGGGTTTAGGGTTTAGGGTTTAGGGTTTAATGTTGACTTCGCATTAATAAACCCCCCCCCCCTCATTGATCAATCTCTCCGGCCAGGGCCTCCTCAATACTGTTCGCCTAAATCCTGGTAGGACGTAGTATTAGCTTTAGTATTAGGTAGTAGCACCACGCCCGTAAAAACCGGATTTCCCGGGTCGGATTTTACAATTGTGGCGGGCTACACTATTGTGTTCCGGCAGCGGGGTTTTACAACTGCGGGTGGATCCACTAATGTGAAGTCAACATTAGGGTTTAGGGTTTAGGTTAGGGTTTGGGTTAGGGTTTAGGGTTTAGGGTTAGGGTTTAGGGTTTGGGTTTCCCTCTACTTCCAAGGACCAAATAGTTGGCTTACACGAACCCTTAGGGGGTTTTAGGGTTTGGGGGTCCTATACTTCCAAGGACCAAATACTTGGGTTACTCGAACCCTTAGGGGCACGAATTTTGCTCCCTGGCAGTACAGGGTACTTTGAAGTAGCGAAAATGCAACCAACATGTATGAATCTACTACTTGCTTAAGAAACCCCAAAGAATCAAACATGAAAATCCCTATACAATATTGCCCTTATAAGGAGGATGGTTTGTTTGTTTGTGTTTTTTTTTTTTTTTGGGGGGGGGGGGGGTGTCTTAGGCAATTCGTAGGAATTGGTATGGCCAGAAGAGCTGCTTGTGCAGGACATGGACATCATTGCAGCGTCCATCTACGCGCGCCGCTATGAGAAATGGGCCAAGAAGGCTCAGCGGAGTACCGAGAAGGCCATGGACAGGATGAAGAAAGCCCTAGATGAGCCTCATGTGCAAGAAGCTTACTTGGAGCCCATGGGTTTAGGGTTTAGGGTTTAGGGTTTGGGGTTTAGGGTTTAGGGTTTAGGGTTTAGGGTTTAGGGTTTAGGGTTTGGCGTTTAGGGTTTAGATGAGCCTCACCTTGCAAGAAGCTTACATGGAGCAACCGATATTCCCCTGTAAGGGGGTAACTACACCTATTGATTAAGGTGATGCGCCCTCTTCTTCGTGTTCTGTCCTCAAAAAAATATACATGTTTTAGGGTATACAGGTTGTCCTAGGTAAGGGTTTGGGTTCCAAGCCAGCTTCCGATCCCTGAACATATGAAGTAGGGTTTGTTTTTCTTGTACCCCCAAAAGGACACCCAGTATATACACTCACCGATGTTAAAAAGGAACCTTATATACACTCACCAATAGCAGTAATATAAACCCTGCTTCATATATGACCCGGATATGGATGTTGTTCGAAAAAGGTGGCTCCTACCCCCTTTGAGGGTTTAGGGAGGTAACTAAGTGCTGCAAGAAGGTTCCCACATAACAAGTACCCCTCAACACTCAGCCCGCTTGGGTTTTAGGGTTTCAGGTTCCCTAAGCCCGAAGCCAGGGTCCACATAGCGTGGGCAAACGGCGAGTGGTAATTTTGTGGAGCCATGAAAAAGGGGAGTTTTAGGGTTTAGGGTTGAGGGTTCGGGGTTTCGTTGGGGGTGCTGATCTTGTTTGCCAGTAGTTGTGGAGCTTCCACATCTTACCCCAGTACAGCGCGAAATGCCCCTAAACCCTCAACCCTCAACCCTCAACCCTAAACCCTAAACCCTAAACCCTAAACCCTAAACCCCAAATGAAAGAGATCCCCCTTGGGGCCCCAAGGTCAGGCTGGCCACGTGCAGCAGCGCGGACGACGCAGCCGCCATCTGGCTGGCCATCGCAGGGCAGACCGAGGAGATCAATGAAATGACTCTTGGTGGCAGGTCTGGGCAAGTTACCCTAAACCCTAAACCCTAAACCCTAAACCCTAAACCCTAAACCCTAAACCCTAAACCCTAAACCCTAAACCCTAAACCCTAAACCCTAAACCCCAATCCCGACGGAAACCCTAAACCTCAGCCTCTTTGACCAGCAACGTCTTGGGAATTAGGCTAGGGTCAAGCCATGGAGGGCGAGGACCCAATCAAAGGGCTTAGGGCTTAGGGCTTAGGGCTTAGGGCTTAGGGCTTAGGGCTTAGGGCTTAGGGCTTAGGGCTTAGGCTTTGTGAAGGGGATTACCTTATACACACTGTTGAGCAGCACTGGGCATTTTTCTTGTCTAGGGTTCAAGGTTTAAGGCCATGGTTCTTGAACCATTTTTTCACTCTCTCTCTTTCTCTCTCTCTCTTTCTCTCTCTCTTTCTCTCTCTCTCTTTCTCTCTCTCTTTCTCTCTCTCTTTCTCTCTCTCTCTCTCTCTCCCTCTCTCTCTCTCTGTCTGTCTTGCTAGGCTACTGGAATACGAACCCCGAAACCCTAACCCAAAACAGCCCAGGATCTGCGATCTGATCATCCAAGATCAACTGGCACGCGCCCCAAAGGGGCACTACAAGCTGACGTGGTATCCGGGCCAGGATGCCATCGAAGGACTCTGCAGCATGTTCTCGTAGCCCTAAACCCTAAACCCTAAACCCTAAACCCTAAACCCTAAACCCGAAACCCTAAACCCTAAACCCTAAACCCCAAACCCCAAACCCCAAACCCCGAACCCCAAATCAAAACCTTAAACCCTAAACCCTGATGCGACCTTGGTGTGGACTGGCCACTGGTCTGGGGACCAAATGACCGCTGAAACTGGGGTCATATACATATACTACTATAAACTCCTATTAAGGCATATGAACCCTAAACCCTTAGCCACGTTCAGGGTTCATTTAGTCCCCAAAGGTGTGACTGCCTAGACATCTATGTAGCCCAAAGCAGCCCAACCTCCTCATGTAGATCAGGCCTTTTGCTAGAAAGAGGTCCTTAGTAAAGCTCTAGGGTTCAAGGTTTAGGGTATAGGGTTTAGGTGTTCGGGTTTAGGGTCTAGGGTTTAGAGGGCTTTCAATCCGAGTTGCCACCTAAACCCTAAACCCTAACCCTAAACCCTAAACCCTAAACCCCTAAGCCCTAAACCCTATAGCAAAACCCCTAAACGACCCAATCCTAGGCCCAAATCCCATCAAGAGCTGCGGTACAGGCCGACGCCTACAACCCTAAACCCTAAACCCTAAACCCTAAACCCTAAACCCTAAACCCTAAACCTAAACCCTAAACCCTAAACCCTAAACGGTGTACAGCAAAAGGGCCCGGCTCCTCTTCAAGGTAAAGGCTCCTCTGCGCGAAGGTGTGCCAAGCACACCTCGTGCGCCCTTGTTCTCAGACAGACCCTGAGCTCTAATGAGCCCAAAAAGGGGTCTGTAAATCGGTTTAGGGTTTAGGGTTTAGGGTTTAGGGTTTAGGGTTTAGGGTTTAGGGTGACTGAGCCGATCCAAATCCCTGGAACCTAAGCCCCGAAACCCCACACAGCCAACCCAATGGGTGGAAACGCGAAGATGGCCGGGATGGGCCAGCTTAAGTCCAAGCGCGTGCCGGTCAGGTCAGTGGATGACCTATATTTATGTTGGTGAGGTTTAGGGTTTAGGGTTTAGGGTTTAGGGTTTGGGGTTTGGGGTTTAGGGTTTAGGGTTTAGGGTTTAGGGTTTAGGGTTTAGTTTTGTGTGTAGGGTTCAGCTTGGGTTTCGGGTTGAGGGTTTAGGCATTTGGGTTTGGCGTTGGCTTTGGGGTTTGGGATTCAGGGCCTAGGGCTGAGGGCTTAGGATCAATTAGAAGAATGATATTGGCTATGCAGTGTGCTCGGGTCTGCTCCAGGTATTTGTCTTAGCGCCCTGCGCATGTTTTGCAGATGTCGGGGTCCAGGGTTTTGGGCGGGATTTGCAACACTATGAAAGAAAACTGGCTCCACCCTAAACCCTGAACCCGAAACCCTAAACCCTAAACCCTAAACCGTGGCAAGCTCTCCCGAGCCCTTTGTGGAAGTCCCTAAGGTCTAGGGTGTAGCCCTAAACCTCAAACCCTAAACCCTAAGCCCTGAACCCTAAATCCATTTTATGGTCCGTAGAACATACCCTAAGGGTCCATGTACCTCATTCTTGTATACTTGGGCCCCAAAGTCCTTATATAGGAGGTACTTTAAGGCCCAAGTATTCCGTATTTAGGTACATGGGACCCTAAACCCTAAACCCTGGACCCTAAACCCTAAACCCTAACCCTAAACCGACCCTTAGGTTATAAGTTTGGGGTTGTCGTTTGGAGCTAGGCGGGTGGCCCAGGAACCGACGCAGCCTGGGTCCTGCTTAGGAAGCTTCCAGGAATTGGGGTTCATTTCGGGTTTAGGGTTAGGGTTTCGAGTTTAGGGTTTAGGGCTTAGGGCTTGAAGCTCAGGGCTTAGGGCTTAGGGCTCAGGGTTTAGGGCTTAGGGCTTAGGGTTTGGGGTGCTGACTAGGCGACTTAGAACCGCCGCACCCGTCAGGTGAGAATTCGAGCTTCTTCAGCGTGGAGGCTTGGGCCAACTCTAGTACTGCGTGTAAACCCTAAACCCTAAACTGAAAACCCTAAACCCCTCAAGCCCTAAAGGCTGCAAGTAGAGGCCTCCTAACTCTATCCTTCTATCCTCCGTCAGGGGAAGTATAACCCACAGATTAAGACTTACAACCCAGTTTATAGACCTTAGAGTCCCCTTAGAGCCCTACCTAAACCCTAGCTAACTCGTAACCCTAAACCCCTTCTGACTTTCATTATGACTCCAACCCTACCCGCAGCATCCGCCCATTGCAGAAATAGACTTGGCACGTCAAGGGCCTTTCTTTCCAGAGTTGCTGTTCCTTTCCTTGGGACTTGGGGTTGGGGGCCCGATGAGGGTAGTTCGGCTGATTAGGGTTTAGCCTGATGAGGGTTTAGGGCTTCGGGCACATTGAATTTCAGGGCTTGCGTGCCTAAACCCTAAACCCTAAACCCTAAACCCTAAACCCTAAACCCTGAGATCCTAAACCCCTGCGAACCCGGAGCCCCTACCTCTTTCAGCCCCCAAACAGCTCCAATCCTCGGGAAACTCGGAAAGAAGGTCCCTAAACCCTAAACCCTAAACCCTAAACCCTAAACCCTAAACCCTAAACCCTAAACCCTAAACCCTAAACCCTAAACCCTAAACCCTAAACCCTAAACCCTAAACCCTAAACCCTGCGCTGAAGCCTCATGGGTGGCTGTCAAAATTATGGCCCCTTTTTGGGGTACCCGAAATATTAGATGCCGTATTCTGAGAGGGATCCAAGAAGGGACCATCATTTTGCCAACCACCCTCATGTATACCCTTGCAGAAGAAACCCTAAAGCCTAAACTTGTCGCCTTTAAGCACTCGCAAGCAACCCAAAGCCCTTCCTTGACTCAAATCACCTTACTGCAAGGCCCTCTCATCCCCGTCATTAATCCGTGGAGCCGTTCAATATCTCAAGGATAACGCTTCGGGTTTTTGGTTTGGGGTTTGGGGTTTAGGGTTCAGGGTTCAGGGTTCAGGGTTGAGGGTTCAGGGTTTAGGGTTTAGGGGCTCAGTGTTCAGGGGTTATAAGGCCCCAGAGTACTGTACCGAAACACCGCATAAGCACCTCGACAGCAAATGCCGGAAGTGATGCAGGTGCCTGAAGGCCAGGGAAAGCCCGACAAGCAGGCCTCAGTTGCATGCGCAACCCCCAACCCTAAGTCCCAAAACCCCTAACCCTAAATCCCAAAATCCCAACACCCCCCCTAACCCTAAACCCTAAACCCCGAAACCCCAAAACCCTAAGCCCTAAATCCCAAAACCCTACACCCCCAAGCCCTAAATCCCCAAATCCCCAAACCCAAAACCCTAAACCCTAAACCCCGAAACCTCAAAACCCCAAACCCCAAACCCCAAACCCTAAACCCTAAACCCTAAACCCTAAACCCTAAACCCTAAACCTTGCGTTTAGGGCTTCCATGCCTGGAGCAGAGCACACATGGCTTCAGAGCTAAGAATTCGGGTTTGGGGTTTAGGGTTTAGGGTTTAGGGTTTAGGGTTTAGGGTTTAGGGTTTGGGGTTTGGGGTTTAGGGTTTAGCGTTTAGGGTTTGGAATTCGGTGTTTGGGGTTTGGGGTTTGGGGTTTAGGGTGGAATTCAACCATTAGGATTTAGGGGTTTGGGGTTTGGGGTTTAGGAGGGTTTGGGTTTGGTGTTTGGGGTTTGGGGTTTTAATTCAACCATTTGGGTTTAAGGGTTTTGGGGTTTGGGGTTTAGGGTGAACGGTTAGGGTTTGGGGATTGGGGTTTAGGAAAGTATCCAATCTTTGTGGCTAAGGGTTGCGGGAATTTGGGACCTTAAGCCAGTGGAAGAGGTGTAGAGAGCAAGGTGACTGGGGCCGGATAGGTTTAGTAGATGCCAACAGATGGCGGAAGACGCGCCCTCCATGAAAAGAACATAGCTGGTCGCCGCTGGTCGGCAAAAGTCGCCCCGCCAACCTCTCAACTTTTTCAAGCTAGACCCTAGACCCTGTACCCTCTCAACCTTTATCACACGAAGCTGAGAAGCGCATGCACAGCTGAGACGCAGTGCAGTGCGCCATACCCTCTCAACCTTTAATCCTGGTTTTCAGCGAAATTCTGCATCCCTGCTCCGGGAGCGCTCACAATCCCCGAAATCTGCAACTCCCCAACTAAACCCCTCAAAAGCCCCGAAACGGGGATTTAGGGGTTCACCGCTTTAGGGGTTCAGATCTAAAACCTAAACCCTAAAGTATAAACCCTAAACCCAACAGCCGACTTAAAACCCCAAACCCTAAGCCCCAAACTCTAAACCCTCAACCCTAAACCCTAAACAAAGCTTTTGAAAAGCTTCTTGGCAGGCGAAAGGCAATCTTCAGCCTGGCAAGCCTGCTGTAAAAGTCGCGTTCCGCGCGGAGCCTAAACTCGAAACCCTAAGCCCTAAAAGCCCCAAAAACGCTCAACCCTAAACCACCAACCCTAAACCCTAAACTCGAAACCCTAAACCCTAAAACCCTAAAACCCTAAAACCCTAAAGCCCTAAAACCCTAAAACCCTAAAGCCCTAAAACCCTAAAGCCCCAAAACCCTAAAACCCTAAAACCCTAAAACCCTAAAACCCTAAAACCCTAGAACCCTAAAACCTAAACCCTAAACCCTAAACCCTAAACCCTAAACCCTAAACCCTAAACCCCTAAACCCTAAACCCTAATTAACCCCTCAAGAAGCGCAACAAAATGAGCCATCCGCAGCCTTCTGTGGGCCACTGGCCTGGCTGCACAAAAGCCAAGGCCACGACCCTTGGGTCAGGGTTTAGGGTTTAGGGTTTAGGGTTTGGGGTTTAGGGTTTAGGGTTTAGGGTTTAGGGTTTAGGGTTTAGGGTTTAGGGTTTAGGGTTTAGGGTTTAGGGTTTGGGCATCCAACTCAATGGGACCGTCTCTAGGACGCAGACAAAGGCCCTTAGATTTCTAGAAACCCCCTGAAACAGAGAAGGCACTCTTTTCATTCCCACCTGGAGAGTCCTGCGGGTTCTCTGCTTGCCGCCTGCTTGCAACTCGAGGTCTGCACAGTCTAGAC